CAAAATGTGTTATCCTGTCATATGGCACAACAATAAAGCCCCGTGTCGTGAAAAGCAGCTGAAATCCCTTTTATCTTCTGAGATGCCCTATGTTTTAGAAATACTTTTCCCTGACAGCTCCACCTCATGTCAGCTGAGAATCCTCCAAAAAGTGCTGATGAGTCGAGTTGTTGAGGTCCCATCCCTGCAATCACATCTTTGTTAAACACAACTTTATTACTTTTCTTTTCACCGTTTCTCTGCCAAACGCGCTCACAAGCACACGTACAATGATACACACACAATGAAATTATCTTCTGTCTCAAGTGCATCTTTTCTGTCCATTTAGCGGTTCTGTTGTGGGGAAGTGCTTGGCGCTGATATACAGCTCTTTGAGCTCTGATTGAATTACACTGATGGGAGCATCAATTACAAAGAATGGTTGCAGAGAAAAAAAAGTAACCAAGCACCTCAGATTGCATTACAGTTAACAGAAGATAATGCATGTCAACACCTTTTTTAGTCTTTTTTTTAATATCTAAAGGTGTTACGACATGGTTATGTTTATTACATTTTCTATTGTGCAAAAATATATTTAAATTTAATTTCCCTTTAAAACACCTACTACAGGTTGTGACACTTGAGATCAAAGGAAGAAAATTTTACTGGGCCATTCTTACATTTCAGAATCTGATTGATTTTATTTTGCATCTGAGGTTGTTGGAAATCTCTCACTGTAAACACTCCCACCCTCTGTTAAATTTGGAAAGTAATTTATCCTTTGTTAAATCAACAGTAAGGTGTTGAGGATCCAAACTTTAGAAGATTTGAACTTTTTCTGTAAGTGAAAGCTGTTCTCCGGGTAATTTCAAGATGTACTCATGGAACCATAGTTCTACTCAAAATATTTCTTCTTAAGAAGGTGGAAGAACAAGATCCCTTAAATATAAGCGTCATAAGTTAATTCTTAGTTTATATGACTGGAAAAACTTGTCATAATATTTAAGTCCTTTTGGTATGACTAATACTCTTTTCTTTGAATCAATCAATGTTAAAATTGTATTATTAATCTAAATTTTAATCCCATCGTTTATTAATTGAAATGATTGCATGTTATATCAAATTAATAACTTAAAATCTCTAGCCTTCTTTTCTTTTCCCATTACCCTTTTTTTTTTATTTTTAATCAAAGTGTCTGATGTTTGTTTTTGTTTCCTTTTGTATATTGTCATTAACTCTATTACAGGTTATGATATATTCATTTTTTTTTTATATGATTCTGAGATATTTACAGCAATCTGTTGATTATTTGTATGCAATAAAGCTCACTAATTGAAAAGGTAAAAAACAAATCATGCATCTCCAGTAAGTCACAAAAAGTTGGTGGTGCATACAGAATTGAGAGAATGTACCAAACTGCTGGGGGTAGTATTTTGTTTTTCATCTTCTTTCTTTGTTTGCTTACTGCTAACTTTGTATTAATCTCTTCTCCCTTCTGGATTGATCTCTATCTGGGTCTAACCCAAGGTTGTTCCCATAACATGTTGTCTTTTGAAATACTTTAAGTGTATTTGATGTGCTCCCTGTAAGATCTGCTTAGACTGCTGGCTCAAGTCCAAGATAAGAGACGGAAACAAGAAAGAAGCAAGAAGAAGGAGTTATGAGTCAGAATTCATGATTTTGTTTACTGAGACTATAATAGTCTTTGAATAGGGGTGCTAAGTAACTATAGAGGGTTTTGCTATGTTTAGTAAAGTGATAATGAATCCAAAAATGTCTGTTTCTAAATGTTGCCCAGAAATGACTAAACTGTAGAAATGTTATCAACCAAAATAGAAGAAAATGAGTATTAAAAGGTTATCGGTATGTGAAAAGTTTTGCTTTCAAAAAAATAAAATAAAATCACGAATAGCAGTTAATTCACACAAACTGTTTTCTTAATCCACTCCTTCAGACTGAGTTTAGACTGAAAGGAATGGATTTCTAGGATCTTGCTTGAGCGTTTTAAGTTAAACATGTATATTTCTATTTTTTACCTCAATCTTTTATCAGTTCATTTCCCCTCTACGGAAATCACACCAAATACAGAATGCAACTGTAAACTGTCAGGTTTATTGTTTTGATTTAGTAGAAAAATACAGATGACTAAAAAAAAATAAGTATAAAGCTCTGCTTCTGTATATAAAGCCTAATATTATATACTTTCTGGATATAACAGTCATCTGCAGTTAGTGGATATGTGTTATGACGAGAACACTTGTTCCTACTTACAAATTACGAGTAAATGATGAATCACTTGCCCAGTAAGCTGAATGAAAGGTGGTTACAGACAGTAGTGAGTGATTCATACATAATGAGACCTTAAGTTTCAATTTACCCAAAGCAGCACCTAGTGTAGATATCACTCTCTCTGTTAGGTGTCAGATATTATGAAACGCTCTTTCAGGGACACATTTTTACTATGTTTAAAAAACTAAAATATGTGAATAACAAAAATTCTCATGGGTTAAACTTTAAATACATATCTGATACTTCCAGAGGTCTGTGGAAAAGGTATGTTGTAAAATGACTTGCAGCTGGCTTGCACATGCCTTAATGGTATGCAGAATTAATAACCAACTCAATATTCCAAGACTGCAATAGCAGTACCTGAAGCAGACTAAAGCAGAAAAATTACATTAGAAAGATATTCATCAGCAATTCATGCCCCACTGTATGTCACTAGCTCCAAGTGCAAAAAAGATTTTCATGCATGCATTTTTATCCATTTCATCATTAGCACAACTGTATGGCACGTAAGGGCATGCATCCATTAGTAATAACATTTAGACTTTAATTTAGACAACATTTATTGTCATTTTTGTATACAAAATGAAATGTAGTTTTGTACAGTTTTCAAGACATTTCCATTTCTTAAAGTGCAGCAGTGATCAAATGTAAACATTGTGGGAGAAAAAAACAAAAAAACAATTGATATGGAAGTCCTGGTGATTGTCGTCTCTGATGAGGCCCACCGCCGTGGTGTCGTCTACGAACTTAACTATGTGATTGGTGATGAACCTGGGGATGCAGTCGTGTATCATCAGTGTGAACAGCAGGGAGCCTGTGCTTAGGGTGATGACATCACAGGTGTTCTGTCTGACCCGGACTGACTGGGGTCTGTTTGTGAGGAAGTCTAGCAGCTAAGTGCTGAGGGCTGTATTGAAGCCTCGCTGTTCCAGTTTGCCCATCAGATTCTATGGGATGATGGTGTTGAAAGCTGAACTGGAGTCCAAGAACAGCATCTGCACGTGGGTGTTCTCCTTCAAGTGTGCCAGGCTCAGGTGAAGAGCAGAGGAGATGGCGTCCTCACTGGTGCAGTTTCGTTGGTAGGCGAACTGGAACAGGTCGAATGTTGGGGGGGGGGGGACTGGAGACAATGTGTTTTTTCATCAGTCTTTTGAAGGACTTCATCATGATGGGAGTCATCTGGGTAGTAATTTAGTGAGGTGACCTGAGGCTTCTTTGGAACCGGAATAACGGTGGAGGACTTAAAGCATGCTGGCACTACAGATTGGTCCAGCGAGGTGTTGAAAATGTCTCTGAGGACACCAGGCAGCTGACCTGCACACTTCTTATACACCCACCCAGATATGTTATCAGGCCGTGGGGCCTTTCTTGGGTTAACTCTCCTCAGAGATTTCCTCGCTTCAGCTATGTGTAGGCAGAGTACTCCTCTCCCTGGTGTGGAATGGAATATCTTTCATTGCTAGGGTGCTGTTTAGGGCCTCAAACCTTCCAAAGAAGTTGTGTGTGATCACTGTGATGGCCTTGTGATCTTGCCTTGCCACATCCTCCTGGTGTTGCTGGCATCATAGAAGAGATCCTGGATTTTCCGGCTGTGGTTCTGCTTCGCTGATCTGATGGCCCGGTTCAAGTTGGCACAAACCATGCCATCAGATCAGCGAAGCACAACCACAAATTTATTATTGTTTTTTTTTTTTTAAGGTGTTGTACCCTCCGTACTATATCAGGGGTTCAGGTTGCATCAGGTCCACAGTCCTATGCCATTAAAAAAAAAAAATATTAGTTTCTTACTTTCATAATGTTAAATTGCTATGTGCCAGATCTGCTAAAACCCTCATTTTGGCCTCTTGAAACAACAGGTTAAAGGCCTTAGATGATTCTATCTTCTATGTTCACTCATTGGTCCATTCAGTCCATGATACCAAGAATTTGGAAAGAAAGTGAACTTTCTCTTTTTAGTTGTTGCTTAGACACTGGTTTCTCCTTTTAAAATAAAAATGCTTCAGACCAGAATTTTATTAAAGTTATTTTTTGTGTTCTTATTTATTTTGAACCCATCAACCCTTTCCTCTGGTCGATTTTTTTTTTATTTGTTAAAATAATTTTGAATGTATAAAAGTCAGCTTTAAAAATATCAGGGAGTATATTTTTAGTAACACACCAGAATGATTAAGACCCGATATCTGCTCTAGTCGTGACGGTAGGCTGAAACACGCCCCCTTGCGGTCCCGTGTGGAAGTCACACGCTATCGGGAAGAACCGAAGAGTTTAGGGAGGGAGGAGGAGAGGGGCTTTCTGTGTGCGCACCGGGGGACTGGTTAAACCCAGGGTTTGTTCTTTTTTTCTATCTGTTCATTGCTGCCATAAATAGCATGTTCAGTGAGGTTGGTGGTCTTTAGATTCAACATTATTGTAAAGAAGTTTTAGACGCGCTTTCCATATCAAATTTAAAAAAGTGGAACAACAGATTAAAAAAAAAGACCCAAAAAGAGACAGAATAGTTCGGTTATTAAAGGCGCACAGTGGAAGCGACAGTGAAAAACAAACTGGGAGTGGAGCTGAGATGCGTCTTTGACAACCTGCTCAGTTTGGAGCCGTGAAGCTTGAGCGCATCCCCGCTCCGGTCCTCCCTCCCTCCCTCCCTCTCCATGCCTCCCTCTCTCTCCATGCCTCCCTCTCTCTCCCCGCACAGACAGGGGCGGTCGTTCTCAGTCTGCGCACATTCCACTTGGCCAGCATCCCCCGGACTCTACAGACACAGAGCTGATTGAACAAACGGAGAGGGAAGCGCATTCCCAGAGCGCATCATTTAGTCACCGGCCAAACAAGGAGACAGGCAGAAATTCAACCACGCCTTTCTCAGTAAATAAAAGGAGAGCAGTAAATGTGTAGGAAATAATTCTCTATCTCTTTTATAAGGATTCTTACGTTTCTTTTTATAAGGCTTAGTTTTTTTTGTCACTTTCACAGTTGGGAGGATAATACTCCATGGTCAGCTGCAATAGTGTCTTATTTTCTGGTGGACTTAAAGAAACAAAGAAAAAAAAAAAAAAAAACAAGCAAAAAAGTTGAACTGGAAATTATTTTGGAGCGCGCGACTGGAGTTTTGTCTTTAAACCTACAATTGTTGCGCTCTGACAGGAGGAGGATATAACTTTTCAACTGGTGTGTTTGGAGAAGAGGAGGAATTGTTGCTGCGGAGTGCGGAGCGCCTTCAGATACAAGGTAGAGAGACGCGGCTTGTGTCTGTCTCAAATGTTTCATTAGTTTTAGTTTCTTTTTAAATGAAAACTGTTTGCTGACGCGAAAAAAACAAAACAAAAAGCAATTCACCGTTACTAAATAACATCAAAGTTGGCAAGCTCTCTAGTAATATTCCAAAATCTTATAAAGGAATTCAATTGATGGGATTTTGAATCACTTTTTTTAATCTTCACTTTAATCACCGGACATGATGAAAAAAAAAAAAAAACTATTGTCACAGCTTACTTTAGACACAGATCCACCCAAATCTGAAATATAAGGCAGGAAATCCTCCTGTTTAGTCAGGGCACTGACAGAGGATTTATTATCTTCGGAGCTCATATCTACTCCTTTTTTCCCCCAACAGATTCGGAACTAAAATCTGCAACATCATCCGCATTTTCATTTCACACCAAAGATCAATTTTCATTTTAGGGGGATTAGAAAAGAAAGAAAAAAGTGCATAGGTTGCTTACTTGTCCTCACTAGGATGTAATCCTCCGCTCCGACTACACCTGGAGAGAGAAAAAATTTTGCCAAACTAAACATCAGACTCACACAATCCCGTCAATCTCTGAAGAGACAGTGCCGCTTTTAAGCTGCGTATAATCCAGGGTGTCCTGATTGAATTACCCGCCCTTTAAATTGAATGAAGAGCTGTAGGCGTTGCAGCGCGCATTAAATTGCTTTGAAACATTATTTTTTTATGGCTTATGAGATCCAAAGACACACAGCTGGACATAAAAAGTCACTCTTCTTTTCTTTCTTATTTTGTTTTTATCCTTTTCTCACCTGAACATTTCTTTCTTTTCTCTCAGGTTATGAAGGAGCTGAGCTGAATATGGAGCTCTTCTGGATCTTGTTGTTTTCCAGTCTGTATCCTCATATTTTGAGCCAAGGAGTTTACGGTAGGGAGATGATGCCAGTTTATTTCCTCATCCTGCCATGCCTGACAAGTTCAGATTGACCCAGGTTGATTGTATCATTGATAAGAATGTATTTAGTTATTAACTCTGAGAACCTTTATTTCCACATGTCATCATGACACTCAGACTGGCGCACAATGACTGGCCTTTAAGAAACAGCTCCAGGTGAAGAGATCTCCACTTAACTCTTTTATGGAGTCTCAATAATAAAAAAAAGCTTAACATTTAACAATGCATAATTTAACCTTCCTCAGTCAATTTGATTCCATTCTGGAAATAAAAATTATGCATTTACAATAGTTTCCTAGTTGCAGGATAACTTTTTACTCTAATAAACTAGATCTATAATGGACTGAATTCTTTCTATGTAAAAATGCCCAATCAGTTGTTGTCACACACACCCTTAGAAAGTTCTGAAGTAGACGTTAAAGCTGTCTTGGATATGACTCGTCTCCTTTCAGGTTAAACAGGAAAGTCATTCTGTGCTTTTGAGGATAAGGCCTCAGATTTGTGCCCTGTCAAGACTGCAGCCTTACTGTGTATTACTGAGGCTCAGCTTCCTGAGCTTACAGGCGCCTGGCCAGACATGCATCCTCCTGTCCCTCCGGGCGAGACAAACACACAAAACTCATCTGTCTGCTTTGATACTTTGATTCTGATGTTTGGAGAAATGTGGCAGCCATTGGAAACAGGCTCTGTTTTGTCACAGTTGCACAGAGTGTGCTTGTCACATGCGATCCTGCATCCCGCCGTCACACTGAGAGATGCTGACAGTCTTTGATTTGCTGAAGCATGTAGGCCTGTGTAAAAAGTCCTTGCTAAGTAATCAGGTTTGCACTAGTCTGATACTTCACAGTCTTGCTGACTTATCAATATCAGCGTAAAATACAAACAACTTACACAGACGGTTCCCAGATCTTTGCGTGGCTTATTTCATATAGTTTGAAGTGCATATTTGGGGATTTCTCCTTTGCAGAAATGGGTGTTTTTTAGCCCTTAGTGTTAAGGCAGTAAGACAGCTGTGAAAGTATTCTTCAAAAGTTATTTGTTTTACACCAATCACTTTTACTGGAAATGTCAGACTATACTTTTGGGGAAAAAAATGAAAAAACACAAACTGTACTTCTATCAAATATGCAGCTCTGTGTTTACAAAGTGACACAAACTGTGTCTGTTTGCTCAAAACCATTTTTAACTCACATGTTATAGAATCTGACATATTAGAAAGCATATGGTGTCCTTGATAAAAGCTTGCTCTCAGTACAAGCTGTTTGATCAGTTGTCTCCTATCAGTTTGATCTTTTGGCTGTAGGCTTATTCACAGCGTATGTAATGTTTGTCCATCATGGATTCTGTCATAGGCATACATCGGGTTGGAGAAGTTTCACATGTTTAATTTTTGGGAGTTATAGCATTTCATTAACACCGGTACAACCATAGATCTATCACAATAAACATGAAATAAAACTTATATATACACTTTTTTTTTATGTAATGCTATTGTGAGGTCAGCATAATGGTGTAAAGCCATCTCGTTGTATCTTTTTTAAACACAGACTGGATCAGTTAATTAAATTTCTCTTCTTTAACCATTAAAATAGTATTGCATAAGTACATATTTTTGTGAATTCACTTTTTGAACGAAACATCTTCGTGAAACAAACTGTCCTCACTTGTCTTATTGGTAACACTCTATCTAAATGAAGGACAATAATTCATTTTACAGTAGGACCTTGTCCGAAAAGAAGTGAACAAATTGCATGACATTACGTAGCTGCTTTAACATTTCTACATTTAAACATTGTTAAAGCTACAGTAGAAACTAGAGCTGCAACTAACAATCACATGTAACATAATGTAAACAGAAGAATCATCCTTTTTCGTAAGCAAGAGAAAAATATGACAGTCTTATTTTAGCCAGCTGACCGGCAGTGCGTAGAAACACATAGGATAGCAGCTAATCTGTTACAAATTATACCCCTTAAACCAACTCAGGCACTGTTTCCAGGATTTCATTTAAAAGAGTTGAATTCTTACAACCCAGTCCTGTTTTTATGGACATCCATGTAGAGATCCACATGTAGAGCATGTGCGTATGTACGTACTTGTATGCATATATGTATTCTTTTTGGGGCATGATTTTCTATTGAGCACCTGGGCCCGTTTATTCACTGCCAAGGGAAGAGAAGCCCTAGGGCTTTGTGAGAATGTATTGGCCAGCATTCACAGGAACTAAACTCCCAGGTGGAACATGAGACCGGAGGTGGTGGTGCTCAGCTGTGCACACCATACAACATCTTTCATGTGTGTTGGTAAATCTTCCCAACTCAAAGTCTCATGTGAAGAATGCAGTCAGTCTCACAATTTTTTACAAATTCAGTAAACACAAGTTGGGAGGAACAGGGAATAGAGCCAACCTGTTTGGCACGCTGCATAAAATGCTCTCCATCGCTTTGGAATTGTTTAGCACTTGCTTTAGCAGACAGATGCGACTCGGCGCCCGTTGGGAGCCGAACGTGTGCCTGATTGATGTCGGCGGTTTGGACGCCTGTGAGGTTCATTTACTGTAGCCTCTTCCGGGGTTGTGTTTGGAGGCATGTGTTGTTGTCAGTGTCTGTGAATCTGTTCATGCAGGTGTTTGTGTATCAAAGTGTGGTAAGTGTCCAAGCCTCTAAACCTTGGAGTTTGTGTGTTTGCCATGCGGGTGTCTGAGTGGGGCGTGTCAGTCTGTGCCAGCCACACTTTTTATTTCCCCTTTGCAACAGTTTGCTGTATCAGCAGGGACTCATGGATCGGTCACTGTTTTTCTTGCAGCAGTTTGGTATTGATTGCCCTTCTCTGAATTCTGATAGGTTGTCAGAAAGCTTGTAACACCTGTCTGTTATACTACAAATGGACAGGTTCCAAGGAAGAGGGATGCTTCATTTCAAGAGGGAAAAAAAGGAAAAATGCACACCGCATATCTCTTAAGACCCATCCTTGTTAAGTCTTTCATAATCATCAATAATATGCCTTGTTATTAAGCATTGTTTGTGCAGCTTTTTTTTATGATGGCACAACCTTTTTATATATACCTTCACACATCAACCCCTGCATGCATATTATTTCATTTTCAATTTCCATTTAGTCTGAGTATATTGCCGTCTAGAGGCATTCCAAGTTTGAAGCGGCATCCATTCACATGCAACAAATTGGAACACACTTAAGCAGAAGGAGAGGTTTCAGAAAATGTCAAGACAATCTTGAATGATGTTCAGCCTCCACAGAGCAAGTGAAGGCAGACAGAGTGTACCAGAAAAACGCGTGTCTCTCCATCTCCATGGCACTGCGTCACATCATAGTGTGCAAGGCAGCAGAGTTCACAGAGACACCAAATTATTGATTGCTTGACAAAGTCACACAGCACCATTAGCTGCTGCTGTAGATGGAAGTCAGACTGCATTAGCCTGCAATACGATGCTTCATTATGTGCTTGTTAACAGGAAATTTAATGAACTTAAATCAATGGCTTTGCCTTAACAGTTTTTTTCTGTTTAAAGTAGGGCTCTTGCAGCAGTAGCAGAGGAGGAGAGGCCTTGCCATTGGCCATGAAACAAAACCCTGCAAAAGATGCGTAAAGTGAAAAAGTTTAATGTGCCTAAATTGTGCACAAATTTAACATCACTTTGAAGATGTTGCCCAAGGAAAATGCATGGAAAATGAATGCTGTGTTCATCTTATCCTAGGGCGTTATTCATGTTTATCAATGATCAAAAAAAGTATTTGCTGTTACTAAAATTCAAAGTTGAAAAAACTTTAGTGTAGTATAGTTCAAGTTCAAAAGAAAAAATTTACGCTGATATTGACTCAGTTTTTATACACCCACTTTATTAGCAATACTCGTTCAATATATAGTTCTCACATGTCTGAAATGGAAGTGGTTTGATTATGTCAGAGATCTAAAGAGAATTTTTTGACTGGTTCGAGATGAGAGAAATGCATCAGAGTCTTAAATAACCTCCTGTTTCAATGGAGGTGCAGAATATTATCTCTAAATATACAGCATGCCTTTTAGAGAGGACAGTCTACAGCACCAGAAGGCCATGGCTGGTGACTGTACTTCTCTTAAGATAGGAAAACCAATGCTACAAAAACACAGGCTCCCCATAATGGGACAAAAACTAAATTAATTTATCATCTAGTTTCAACTTTACCTGCAAAATTCAGATGCGGGGTTAGAATTTGGCATAAACAAAATGAAAGCATGGTTTCATCCTGCTTTGTTCTACTGGTTTAGGCTGTTGTTGGTACCACCTGTAATCCTCTTGCCACATTTTTGGTGTATCATTTCAACTCCACAATCTTTCTGAGTATTTTTTGCAGACCGTGTCCTTATCTGCATTAGCCCAACGCATTCATCTTTCAATTCATGGGTAACCAGCTGCGGGCCCCAAGAGTTGCTGTTGTTCAATGTTTAGATTCTTTCATTTTCCAACACCTCTGAACCAAATAAATGCCTCCTTACCAGTTCTCTGCAGAGCTAAATAACGGCTGTTTAGAGAGTTCAGCCATCTGATTCAAGTCAAGTGGAAAAAGGACTACTTCATGTAGTATTAGACAGCGTAACACAAAGTTTATTTATAACTGTTTTCCCAATCAGTACAGAGTTCTGTGTTGTCTATAATCATCTGGGCCCAATTATAGACAGAATGGCTGTCCTACCCTTAGTAAAAAGCAGATAATTGGAGTAGTCCTACCCCTCCCTTCCATACTTAGGCTATTAAGCTTCAGAACAGGTAATATCAATGGGGTACTAAACTTAGCATCTATTTAAGAAGCCCGCATTAATGGAAAGTAGATAAAGTGATTTACCATTGCAAAGGCAGCACAGAAGTCCCTGACAGTTCAGTTTGTTATCATACTCCCAAAGCCGGGTGTGGTTGCAGCCTGGAGACCTTCCTCATCTGGGGAACTAAAGCATTGCTCTTGTCATAAGTTTTTTT